GGGAAGGAAGGGAGGGAGGGACAGAGGGAGGGGAGAAAAGAAGGAAGGAAAGCAAGAAAGAAAGAAGAGAGAAAGAGGAAAAGAAAGAAGATAGGGAAGGAAAAAAGGAAGGAGGGAAGGAAGGGAGGGAGGGAGGGGCACATGATAAAATATCATTTTTTAGTATGCTAAAATGATATTTTTAGTATGCTAAAATGATTTTAGCATCCTCTGGTCTCTGGCTCTGAACTCCTGGCTGCTCTCCCCAGAAACAACTGTGTTCTCCATTTCCTAGGTATTCTCTCTAGGAGGAGGATAAATTGTGTGTGTCTGTATTGCAAGTGTTCTAAACTTGGCATTTTTTTCACTGAATAATATATCTTAAAGATCATCCCATTCCATATGGTCAGCATTGACTTCTTCTTATTATTATTTGAGACTGAGTCTCCCTCTGTCACCCAGGCTGGCATTGGTGGCTCAGTCTCTGCTCACAGCAACCTCCGCCTCCTGGGTTCAAGCAATTTTCTTGCCTCAGCCTCCCAAGAAGCTGAGATTATAGGCATGCCACTACACCTGGCTAATTTTTGCATTTTTAGTAAAGACGTGGCTTCACCATGTTGGCCAGGCTGGTCTCAAACTCTTGACGTCAGGTGATCTGCCTGCCTCGGCCTCCCAAAGTGCTGGGATTACAGGCATGAGCTACCGCGCCTGGCGAACTCATTATTTTTAATGATCACGTAAAATCCCTTTGATTGATGTTTCGTAATGTATTTGATCAGCCCTCCTAATAAATACTTTGTTGCCACACACGGTGCTGCTCTGCATACCCTTGCACTTACATCTTTGAGCACGTGTGTGAGAACATCTTTAGGCTAAATTTTTAGAAATGGAGTAGTAAGTTAAAAAAATATTTGCATTTTTGGCTAGGCGCAGTGGCTCACGCCTGTAATCCCAGCACTTTGGAAGGCCAAGGTGGGTGGATCACTTGAGGTCAGGAGTTCGAAACCAGCCTGCCCAACATGGCGAAACCCCGTCTCTAGTAAAAATACAAAATTAGCCGGGCATGGTGGTGCACGCCTGTAATCCCAGCTACTTGGGAGGCTGAGGCAGGAGAATCGCTTGAACCTGGGAGGCGGAGGTTGTAGTGAGCCAAGATCGTGCCACTGCACTCCAGCCTGGGCAACAAGAGCAAAACATCTCAAAAAAAAAAAAAAATTGCATTTAAAATTTTGATACTGCTAAAATTTTCTCCAAAAATGTTTTGCTAATTTACACACCTACCAACCACGTTTGAAGTGCCTGTTTCCTATACCCTGCTTGTCACCGTTACCTTCAAAGTCTTTGAGTGTTGACAATCTGATCAGTGAAAATTAACTCAAATGTTAAAAAAAAACAAAACACTGTGCAAGTCAAACCAAATATAGCCATGGGCCAGAATCAGCCCCTGGGTTGCCATTTGGCAAGTGTGTGCTGGGTGCTGTTTTCCTATAGCTGTGAACTGTAGTCAGCCCATCAGCCAGGCCAGCAGGAGTTCTGAAGCCATCAGCACACCTGGAGACAGCCCTGCCAAGGTCCAGAACCACTGCCAGGAGCCCTATTATCAGGCCACGGCAGCAGGTGAGCCCCACCCGCTGAGGGGTAGCCTCCATCCCCCTCACTCCCACCCAAACGCCCTCTGAGCACCTGCTTTGTTAACCAACAGTTTCAACTCTGAGCCTGTTTCTTTGTCTCTCCTCATTTTGCGTCTCAGGGGCACTCAGCTGCACCACCCCAGGGACCTGGAAGGACACACAGGATGGGGAGGAGGTTCCTCAGTGTGTGCCTGGTGAGTAGCCCCCTGCGAGCACCATTCCCCTAACAAGCCTCAGCTGCAACTGGGACCTACAGGACACACGGGTTAAAGGAAACCTTAGAATAGAAAGGAAGATACGAAGCAGAAGGTGAGGAACAGCAGGGTAATCAAGAAGGCCCAGAAAAGAAGAGGCAGGGAGCTTGTTCCTCATTCTTCAGGGGTCAAGATATATCTGAGGAAAGCACGAAGGAAGTTAATGAGGTGGACTAGGAAAGGAGAAAGAGACCAACAAGCTGAAGTATCATTTTTACGGCTAAATAATATTCCTTTCTATGGATGTACCATTTTGTTTGTCCATTCATCAACTGATGGACATTTAGGCTGTTTCTACTTCTTGGTGATTACAAATGATGCTGCTATGAGCATTTGTGCACAAGTTTTTGTACCAACATACGCTTCCAAATCTCTTGGGTATATACCTAGGAGTAGGCTTGCTGGATTGTGTAATAATTCTGCTTAACTTTTTGAGGAACCACCAAACTGTCTTCAGCAGTGGCAGCACCATTTTACCATTTTACATCTCACCAGCAATACCTGAGGCTTCAATTCCACCATTTTTGAGATCCACACTTTTGAATGAAGCCATTGCCTTCCTAAGCCAACCTGATCCATGGAAAACTCTAGGGTTCGCCTGAAGGCTCGTAGTGCTTTGGGGATGTGTTGGAGGGCAGATGGTAGTGGGAGATGTTACAAATGAGGAAATGACACAAAACTAGGCAGGAAGCACTGAAACAGACTCTGCCTGTAGTACGGGGGCCCAGGATGGTCGGGAGGAACCGCTTTAATGCCTCTGAGGAGGCAGGAAGGAGAGCCCTGCAGAACCAGCACCAAACGTGCTCATCTGTGCTCTCCACCCTCAGTCCACTGTCCCGAGTCCCATGCAAGATGGGTGCCCCATACAGTTGGCATTGATTCCTTGCCCTTGTCTGCCCACATGGTCTATACTGTGAGTCGGCCCCAGTGTAAGAGTCCTGATCCCACCCAGGTGCGGTGGCTCACACCTGTAATCCCAGCACCTTGAGAGGCCGAGGTGGGTGGATCACCTGAGCGCAGGAGTTCGAGACCAGTCTGGCCAACATAGTGAAATCCCATCTCTACTAAAAATACAAAAAAAATTAGCCAAGCATGGCGGCGGGTGCCTGTAATCCCAGCTACTCAGGAGGCTGAGGCTGGAGAATCGCTTGAGCCCGGGAGGCGGAAGTTGCAGTGAGCTGAGATCACGCCACTGCACTTTAGTCTGGGCAACAAGAGCGAGATTCAGTCTCAAAAAAAAAAAGAGTCCTGATCGCATGCAGAGCCAGACCTGGAGCCTCTTCACGCATCCTCTGCCACAGCTTCAGAGAAGTAGGTCTTTAATCAGTGTGCCTAGACGCAGCTGCTGACTGTCACCCCTGCCCCTCCTCTCTCCCAGTCTGTGGACGGCCAGTCACCCCCATTGACCAGAATCAGACGACCCTCGGTTCTTCCAGAGCTAAGCTGGGCAACTTTCCCTGGCAAGCGTTCACCAGTATCCATGGCCGTGGGGGCGGGGCCCTGCTGGGCGACAGATGGATCCTCACTGCTGCCCATACCATCTACCCCAAGGACAGTGTTTCTCCCAGGAAGAACCGGAGTGTGAATGTGTTCCTGGGCCACACATCCATAGATGAGATGCTGAAACTGGGGAACCACCCTGTCCACCGTGTCATTGTGCACCCCGACTACCATCACAACGAGTCCCACAGCTTCAACGGGGACATCGCCCTCCTGGAGCTGCAGCACAGCGTCCCGCTGGGCCCCAACGTCCTCCCGGTCTGTCTGCCTGACAATGAGACCCTCTACCACAGCGGCTTGTTGGGCTATGTCAGTGGGTTTGGCATGGAGATGGGCTGGCTAACTACTGAGTTGAAATACTCAAGGCTGCCTGTAGCTCCCAGGGAGGCCTGCAAGGCCTGGCTCCAAAAGAGACAGAGGCCCGAGGTGTTTTCTGACAGTATGTTCTGTGTTGGGGATGAGATGCAGAGGCACAGTGTCTGTCAGGGGGACAGTGGCAGCGTCTATGTGGTATGGGACGATCGTGCCCATCACTGGGTGGCCACGGGCATTGTGTCCTGGGGCATAGGATGTGGCAGCGGGTATGACTTCTACACCAAAGTGCTCAGCTACGTGGACTGGATCAAGGGGGTGATGAATGGCAAGAACTGACCATGCGGCACTTGAACAGGGACTGGCCAGCACAGTGGAGGCCCCAGTCAAGAGAGGGCCGGGAGTGAGGACTGAACCCTGGGGCAGGGGCAGGAGGTGGTGGGAGGCAGGGAAATCCTATTCACATCACTGATGCAGCAAGCCACCATGCAAGAGAAACCCCCACCCTGCAAGCCTGCACCATCCGGACAGGAAGCACGGTCCTACAAACCGCCGCTCCTCACCCTCTACCTCCCTGTCCGCTTGCACTAGGCCACGGAAGCCCTGTGCATCTCAGCAACTTTCACCTTGAATGTCCTTGGAATCCCCTTCCCCTTCATCTGTTGACACAGCTTTTATACCCACCTCTGGAAGAGTCACCATCTCACCTGCTGAGTATGGAGAAAGGGGTTTTCCTTGCATTTTATTTCTGAAATATTCCTAAGACCCTTTAGTTGACCTTCACACCTTCACATATTCAAGCTGTTGGCTTCACCACCTTCCACAGCTCCAAGATGCGATTACAGAAATAGCTCCTTTTTAAATTTTATGCCCTCTATATGCCAGACGCTTCACCTGTTATTTCACTTAATCCGCATACCATGTTGGCAAAGGATGTGTTATTAGCCATGCTTGACAAATGAGGAAACTGAGGCTCCGGGAAAGGGACTTGCCCAGGTCCCACAGCTGGTGTGTGACTGCAGAGGCTGCTCTTCCCCGTGTGCCGCCATACTTCTCAGCTCTCCTCAGATCTGCTGTGCCACCCGCTTTCCCTCCCAGTGCCCACATCCTTACCATTGTCCCTCCCTGGGAATTCCTGCTTCTGTAAAAATGGCATCCTCTGGCTCACACTTTCCTGCTAGCCCCATCTCCTGCAGAAGCCACGTGAGCCCAGCACTGGACTGACGTTCCTGCGGACACCCCACCTGGGCCCCCATCATCAAGAGAACTGTTCCACCTGAGAGGACCAACTCTTTAATTTTTAGTACAGATTGGAGGTGATGGGCCGAGCACGGTGGCTCACGCCTGTAATCCCAGCACTTTGGGAGGCCAAAGCGGTCGAATCACAAGGTCATGAGATCAAGACCATCCTGGCCAACATGGTGAAACCCTGTATCTATTAAAAATACAAAAATTAGCTGGGCGTGGTAGTGCGCATCTATAGTTTCAGCTACTCGGGAGGCCGAGGCAGGAGAATTGCTTCAACCCAGGAGGCAAAGGTTGCAGTGAGCTAAGATTGTGCCACTGCACTCCAGCCTGGTGACAGAGCAAGACTCCATCTAAAAAAAAAAAGCATTGGAGGTGATTTACAGTGAAAGACGCAAGTAAAATATAACTGTTCAATGGAAATAGAAAATAAATATCATAAAAGAGAGAAGAGAGATAATTTGTTAGCATCAAGAGTCAATTGCTGTATAGTCACAGGTTAAATTTATCTCTAAAAAAATTAGCAGGATTCAACGTTGTCCCTACATGTGGTTACTTCTGTTTTTTACACCTACACACAGTACAAAAGATTATTAAAAATATTCCCAAAAGGCGGGTACAGTGATGTACACCTATAGTCCCAACCACTTAGAAGGCTGATGCAGGAAGATCATTGGAGCCCAGGAGTTCAAGGCCAGCCTAAGCAACATAGTGAAACCCCATCTCCAAAAATGTAATAATAATACTCTCAAAATACTCAACAGAGTAGTTTTAGTTGATAAGATTTTGGCTGTTTGGTTTTCCACTATTCTCTATTTGCTAAATTTTGTTTAATGAGCATGAAACATTCTTTTTTTTTGAGACGGAGTTTCGCTCTTGTTACCCAGGCTGGAGTGCAATGGCGCGATTTCGGCTCACCACAACCTCCGCCTCCTGGGTTCAGGCAATTCTCCTGCCTCAGCCTCCTGAGTAGCTGGGATTACAGGCACGTGCCACCATGGCCAGCTAATGTTTTTGTATTTTTAGTAGAGACGGGGTTTCACCATGTTGACCCTTGACCTCGTGATCCACCCACCTCAGCCTCCCAAAGTGCTGGGATTACAGGTGTGAGCCACCGCGCCCGACCAAGCATGAAACATTTATTCTATTTTACTTATTTTTATGATTGAAAAAATGATGAGTTTCTCCCTGCCAAGGCAAACATATATATATATATATATATATATACACACACACACAACACACACACACACATATATTTATACATGTGTGTCTAGATGTGTATCTCTACATCTTCGCCACCGTCTCTAGGTCTAGAGATAGAGATATAGACTAGGAGCTGGAGATAGAGAGGTAGAGGCAGGTTAGAGACAGAGCTGATAGAGACAGGTGAGCTGGAGATAGAGACATAGCCACAGAGGAAAACCTACCGCTACTTTAAGAGAGAAACTTTTTTTCCCCAAGAATCAAATCCTTAAAGGAATAAACACTGTAACAGACAATGTCCTCAATACTTGTCTTAAAACAAATGCAGCAACATCCATATGGCGTTTTTTTCCTTCTTTGTATAAGTCAAGGACATAACAAAAATGTGTGAGTAAAGGTTATCTTCAATGGTTGGGCAGAGTGGAGACAGGGCTGGGACTGAGCTAATGACGTCCAGGTTTGCCGTGCTCCAAGCATTGTTGCACAATGCCAAGTCAGAACTGAGAATCCTTAGGATGGTTGGAAGAGCTTGAGCTGAGACTACCTCCTTCCCTGTTCCCTCTGCCCCCATTATGAACATACAGTGTGTGCGTGCGCGCGCGCGCGCACACGCGCACACACACACACACACACTGCTGTTAGGATATTAATGTGCAGTTTGCTAGATGAGATTCCTCTTCCTCCTCGTCCCTTCATGTGGTCCTTTTCCTTCTCCCCTATCTTTTGTCTTTTCTGGCCTAACAAGGCTATGGATCATATCCTGATCTGGTCACAGACCAGCCCTCCATCAGGTTCAGTCCTCAGCTCTGACACACAGGCCTGCCGCAGAAATCCTCCAAGGGTTGGTTGATCTTGCACCTTCTGTGTGCCTGCTGTCTAACTACTGATGACTTGGTCACTGCCTGATGGGGAACTGCATCAGCTCTGTGAATTCTTGCAATCTATTGCCTGGAAAAGTGCCTTGCACATTAAACAGGTAGCCCATAAATGGATGAATGGGGGCGGGGGCAGAAGGGTGGAGGTTGGAGGGACTGATCTCATGTGGGAAACAAGCAGAACCGCTTACAAAGGCTTAAGAACACAGAGGCCTGCGTCGCGGCCCAAGCCCCCCATGTGATGAAGTGCCATGAGATATTTGGTGCCATGGAGACTTGATGAAGAAAGGCTGCCAAAAACAGTAATATTGTTTTTTATTTATTTTAATGTTTAAAGATGAGGTCTCACTATGTTGCCTAGGCTGGTCTCAAACTCCTGGGCTCAAGAGATCTTCCACCCTGGCCTCGCAAAGTGCCAGGATCACAGGCATGAGCCACCACACCCAGCCAAGAGCACAATTTTAAAGCAGGACACTATGGCCTGATGGACAGAAGCGAAGAGGGTCCCTCCTCCCTCCCAGGGGCCTGGCTTCATCTCAGAAAAACCAAGCCCCTCTTGCTCCACAGCCACACCCTCAGCCTCAGCCCTGGCAGTCGTGTTGAGCAGATGCTGAGGAGAAGGGGACATTTTACTCCCTCCACAGCTGCCCCAGAGGGTCTCAAATCCAGGGCTGCTTTAGGGTTGCCCTGACATGGCCATCCCTATTCTATGTCCAAGTGTCATTCATGGCTAAAGCAGGCCAGGGCCCCAAGGCAACCAAGCTCCACTCTCCTCTGCCCGCTCCCACGCACCCTCCTCTGCCCCAGTGTTCCTGGGGCTTCCTCCTGGGCAGGGAAACCAGAGCCATTCTTGGACCAGGACTGCGGGCTGAATGAGGGCAGGAAGAACGGGGACAGAGGGAAAGGACAGTCCAGAAAAGAGAATCCCCCACAACCTGGGGTCTCCCACTGCTTCAGTAGGAACCTTGTAAACACAGCAGCAGCCCTCCCCAAGGAAAGTCTTGAAAGAAAGGAGAAGCTGATCAGATTTAGAGACTGAGGTGTCTGGGCCTACAACCCTGGGCTACCCGGCCCTAAAAATTCAGCCGGGCGCGGTGGCTCACGCCTGTAATCCTAGCACTTTGGGAGGCCGAGGTGGGTGGATCACCTGAGGTCAGGAGTTCAAGACCAGCCTGGCCATCATGGTGAAACCCCATCTTAAGAATAAATAAATAAAATAAAATAAAATTCAGACTCCCATCTCCTTAGCCCTTCCCCATATAGACCAGCAGGTGGCACCACCAACAGGAATTTCAAAACCAAAACTAAATTAAAGTGGAAACTCAGATCTTTTGTTTATGCAAATAGTTCATTCCCTCCAGCATTCCTCCGGGAATGGTCCCCCCTCCACTCCACAGAAAACCCTCCCATCCCTGCTGTGCATGACCGCAGCCTCCCTCTGCACACACTGCATGAAGAGGCTGTCAGAAGAGCCCAGGACTCAACACCAGCCTTGAGAAATGTGAGTAAGGGCGATGGGCACCCAGGTGGGAAGGAGAAGCCAGGAGAGAAGCCAGGGCATGGGAGGCAATTCAGGGAGACAGGAACACCCTGCCCTCCCCACACACCTCATCAGTCCCCCTGTGCACACACATGGACACACACAAAACACGCCCCATCCCTCCTCCTAACGACCAGAGGAGACCTTGTACATAGAGGCTCATGCCATGGCCCTTTCTTCCTTCTGGGCTCACAGCAGGGAGCAGCGAGAGGAGGGGACCGCCTGCCCAGGAGGGGACCCCCTGTGCATGTACCCCACACTCCACCGATGGTTTCTCCCAGACACTCTTGCTGAGTCTCTGGGACCCCTTTCCGAGAGCCATGACTGGAAACACTCACCCCTCATTAACTGGCCTCAAGCCAGTCCTATTCCTGGAAGGGGAGGGGAGGGATGTGGCCAGGCAGGGGGGGAGGCTGGGGAGGGAGTATGAGGGGAGTGGGGTGGCCTCTGGACTGGACACTGCCCTGGGGAGGGACACACATGCAGCAACTGCAGAGGCTGCCCTCCCCCCACCACCCGCCCCTGCAGAGAACATGCCTGTGAGGTCCAGAATGGGCAGAGAGGAGAATGCCCAGTGGTATGGCCATCTCATCCCCTGCCACGGCCGCTGCCCACATGGCAAGAGTGGTGAACCCCTCCAGCTCCAGACGCTCTCTTTTGTTTTGGCAGGTGGCTCTGGTATCTCCTGGTGCCGGCCCTGTTCTGCAGGGCAGGAGGCTCCATTCACATCCCTCAGAAGTTCTTCGGGGAGGTGACTTCCCCTCTGTTCCCCAAGCCCTACCCCAACAACTTGGAAACGACCACTGTGATCAGAGTCCCCACGGGATACAGGGTGAAGCTCGTCTTCTGGCAGTTTGACCTGGAGCCTTCTGAAGGCTGCCTCTATGACTATGTCAAGGTAGGGGCAGGGTGGGTGGGCAGCGGCAAGATAAAGCGGGGCCCTCTGGGATCTGGGATCGCCCTGCATGGCATGCACACCCCCAGACACAGCCCAGCCCTGCAGGAGCTGGTGGCCGACTGCATCTCTGAGAGCCAGGGCATGCCCTGGATGCGACACCCACTGGTGTAGAGGTGAGCACTGAAGGGAGAAGCACAGAGAAGAGAGGGACAGGACCCACTCAGGAAATTCACTGTCCACGGAGTCAGGAAAACCTTCCCCATCTGCTGTCCAGCTGAGCGTCTTTGGGAAACCACTGTGCCTCAGCTCCCTTGTCTCCAAGGAGAAGATCGCCATGGCTGCCCGCCTCAACAGGAACACAGGGACGTGAGGAGGAGAAATGTGTGCTCTGGCAGCACAGGAGTGGCCTTCAGCAAGGACATCGGGCTCAGAACCCTCACCTCTGTGACAACCAAGCGTGCCTTCCGCGGCCTGCCTTTCTATATCCAATAATAATGAGATTCAGGGCTCAAGCAGAGCCTGCGAAGGTCCAATAACTGCGAAGGTCCAAACCATTCCCAGGAGACCCCGGGAAGTTATGCGCAAATAACGGGAAAATGGCACGTCTTCCCCGCCCAGAGGACTTGGCACGTGTGCAGTGTTGGGGGAGGGCTTTTGGTGGCAGGGCAGGGAGAGGTTGAGGAGGCTGTGAGGAGGAAGGATGAGGGACTAGGCGATACGTGCTGATGCTGAGACTGGTGGGCTTCAGGGCTCGTGTTCGGCCAAGGGCGTCAGAAAGCACTTGCAGTATAAATGGTTTGATTAGGCCGAAGGAGAATTGGAAAACAGAAAAAAAAAGCAGAGCTGTCCAGGCTCTGGGAATGAGGGGAGGGTAAGTAAAGGCTGGGTAGAGACAACCAGGACCCCAGGGGAACATGCCACAGGAGGTGGTGGGGATGGAGAAAGACCTGAAACCTGCCAGAGGAGCAGAAAACAGGGAAGGGGTGAGGTACCCAGTGCAGAACAACATGCCAAGAGTGAGTCAGT